GAGTCTCAAAATCCCCCCGTCCGTACCCACTAGCCCGCTAGCATTTGGGGGACAGAGGTGCCTGTGCTAACTTTCCTATGGTGTAGAATATCCCTAGTTGGATGAATCTTTTGGGGCTGCGGGTTTTTCAGTGGCAGCGCGACGGGCGGGAGTTTTGAGACTCTATGCCCGGGGTTCATCCCGGCCGGGGGTTTTTGGTTTATTTGCAATCGTGTCATTCGATTTCTTAAGTCATGTTGACGGCAGTGAAGGGATTGAGCTAGAGTTCGTCAGGGGGGCCAGCTAGGGAGATTCGTCTGTAAAAATTGCATTTGTGGTCACAGAGGTGCTGTGCTAATTTCCTTGGTTTGAGAAATATACCTAGTTGGATGAACTTTTTGGGTAGGGGTCTAGTGGCTAGCGCAAGGGGCTGGAGTTTTGAGACTCTATGACCGCGGGTTTAAACCCCGGGCCCGGGGGGTTTATTTTTTAAAAAAAAAATACATGTAATTTGTCAGCTGATAGTGTTTCCCGCATAAGCATCTGTTGTGTTACGTTACTTTTCTGAACAACCCTTGATTTTGCCACAATAGTCCCATAGGGGGACATTTGGGTGTCAAAAAACCCCTCGGTAAACTGGCAAAACTTTTTTAGGGGCCAAAAGGAAGGAAACGTACTGATCATTGCGACGTTGCCCGTGTGTCAAGTGAAGGGAAAACCCGCGGAAAACCCCACCCCGCTCTCATTCCCATCACCGGCATGGTGAACCATTTAGTCTTATTATTGATTGTGTTGGTCTTTTCCAGAACCAAATAGGAAACCAATATTTTTACTTTATGGCGCTGAAAACGCTTCCCCAGCTATTCTATGAGAAAAAAATTTAAAGCTCGTGCTATTGTGAGAGCGCTATGAAATTTTTCTCCCAGGTTGGATTTTCACGAGAATACAATAGTTTAGGGATCTAACTTCACTTCTAAGATCTTTTGAGAAGCATTTTCCCACCCAGGAATAAAATCTGTATTTAACGTTATCATCCACGTCACAAGGTGCTCTAGAGAGTTTTTATCAGAAATTGAAGTCTATGATGAGAGTTTTTGTGAACATTTTTCTGAGACTGGGATGAGGGGATCCTTTTTTTCGTTCGCTATGAGAGAAAATGAGCAAAAGTTCGGATTTAGTCCGTTTGAATTAATATTCGGACACCAAGTGCGTGGCCCCTGCAGTGTTTTTAAAAAAGTGTGGCAGGGGAAAAAAAAATCCCATGAGTACTTCCCTCCATAAGCAGCACATTTGACAGCGTAGGAGTAGTTCGAAAAACCCAGTTTCAGCCCCAAACTAGAATGAAAAAACATTATGACAAAGCGTGTGTCCCTTTCTTTTAAAGCAGGAGATAAGGTGATGGTCGGAAATTGAAAAAAGGTCATGTCTACAAGCCAGGATGTGGTCCCTGGAAGTAGTAAAAGTTAGCGGCCCCTAAATTATTTTTAGTACGCCTGGGAAAAAAAAAATCTAATCATGTGTCCATGTTAACCCGTCAAGGCATATACCCAGTCCTCTACCTACTACTTTATTTTTCCCAGGAAGGGAAGAAAAAAGTCAGTTACTGAATCTCTGAGGTATGGGTTCGTTTTGAAAAATTCGTGACTTCAATCCTAACGATTTTCTTAGTAAACCCTTGGGGTTTTAAAGCTGGTGATATTTAAAAAAATGATTTTGCATTTTCCCCGAATTGTTTTGGTGTGTTCCTAACGTTGTACTTGGGTGACTGACGTTTTGTAAGGGGGGATCACCCATTAAGCAATCACCCTTAGGATGAGTCCCAAAAAAGCATAAAGCATTGAGAGAAAAGGTTGATTTTCTGTTTTTTCCGGTCTTATTGAACGCAGTAAAAAATCCATGGGCCTTCCCCGTATTCTGTGCCCAAACCCGACGGTAGTTTCAGGATGGACAGATTACAGGAAAGGAACCTGCACTTGCCTGATGGTTATCCTTTTACCCCGCATGACGACCTTTTTGATCGTGTTCAGGAGCCAGTTTTTCGCCCTTTAGTTCTTACGAGGCTATTATCAAGTCCCGCTTTTTGAACGTGTCAAAAAATATCGCTTTTACTGTTCAATGGATTGTTTAAATACCCCGTCACCCCCCTTGGCCTTGTAACGCGGTTCTTTTATTCCAAGTATAATGAACGAGTTGACCCCCAACTTGAAGGAGTAGAAGCTTTTGACGACTTAGTGGTGTACAGTGGGTGGGAAAAGCACTTGACGCGTCTCAGGCATTTTTTTGAGAGACTGGCGCACTACAACTTCATGTTAACTTAGCCAAAAATGTTTTGGTCAAACCAAGTTACCTACTGGCTTTTGTATCGGCCAAGGTGAGGTTGTCCTTTGAGGTAAGGTTCGTGCAATTTTTGAAATTTCCCGTGCCACAGGTAGGAAAGGGTACAGAGATTCCCGGGTATGGCGGGGTATTATCGCGGTTCTGTCCAAAAATTTTCCGATTTGCCCTCTCATGAGCTTACTGTAGCAAAGTTAGTTCACCTGGGCTAGAGATTGTTTGACTCGTTCAAAGGTTGAAAAGTTTGCTACCTCTGCTCCAGTGTTGAAAAGCCTAATTTCAATCTTCCCTTTTTTTTAATATAGATGCGGTGGTTATGCAGTGGGGGCTGTGCTGCTCCAAACTCAACATCCACTGAATTCTCCATCCTATTTTTTTTATTCCCCTAAGTTAAAGCACCCGAAAAATTTGCCACTATTGAGAAAGAGGTCTAGTTTGTGGTGTTTGGAACATTTTGACGTGTATTTGGGGACTTCCCCATTTTAAATTAACGTAATTTTTGCCCCAAATACCTTTTCTTTCTTGCTATGTCAAAATTTAGTAAAGTAAATTAATCCCTCCAGCCTATTAACTTATTACTCATGTCATGTCTAATTATTTATTTTTATATTCACAGTAATGTTGTGTGGGAGGAGACAAGTGAGTGTTGAGTGGTGTGTGGGGGGGTGTGTACGCGTGACGCAAAATGCCCCGTCGCAGACCCCCCCCTCACTACACACCTTAGCTGTTTTCATACTAGATGTTCATACTGCCCCGCATTTCCCCAACATACTTAAAGGTGGAAAGCGTCTCCTCTACTATGATCGAGCCTCAACGTCCCCCCTTGTCAGCGCTATCGGGCTTTCACTGTGTAATAACCCCGAGTATGAAGGAAAGAACGGTGTATCCCTAGTACTAGGGCATTCTAGTGACGGACGCTGTGAAATTGTAGAGGGCTTGGCCAAGAGAGACTCTGATTAATGTTTAATTTTTTTATTTATAATAATATTGTATGAGAATCAGAAAAATGGAAAAAACAAAAGCAAATCTAGTGCGACCCTCTGTCGTGTTGGGGGGGGGGGTTTTTGCAACCCCCCGAATGGGTTCAATATTATTATGTTATATAATGTATATTACCCTTTTATTTTTTTATATGCTTATATTTGCGTAATAGCTAAATCGTAAAAGTTTGACTTTTTTATTATTTGACTGTTTTATTTTTATTTGATTTGTTGTTAGGTGTATATAAAATGTGTCATTTTGTCTTGATTGTCAAACTACTGTAAATTTTCGCTTGTCGCTCGTTTAGCCGGCTTCTGGTGAAATTGTCCAGGTATACGTGCGAGGGGGGGGGTGGGGCCCCACCCTCGTGAAGTAGTCAGTCTGCTGGAGACTCGCTTGCTGGTTGGAAGATTGTCTGTTCATTTTCTTGTTATTCTGTAGAACTTTTTCCAAAAAAATTGTATAGATTTGGGTTTTTTGCGTTTTTACTGAGGTTGTGGTCACATAGACACTTGAAAATTCAGGTCCTTTGCTATAGCTTCTGACCTAAATTTTGTATGGTTTTGTGTATTGTCACAGTCGCGTTTTTCCTATGGGAGTTTGTAACTTGTGGGGACTGCAGGGTCCCTACTTGTGTTGTTTTATTATCTCCTAGTTCTGATTCTGGTCGCGTCGTTGATTTGCATTGCTATTGGGATTGCATTTTTTGTTGTTCAGCGGGCTGTTCGGGTTGCGTCGGCAAAAGTTAGTTTATTTTAGGACTTTGTCAGTCATTTTCGAGTTTGAGACAAGCTAACTACTTAAAGCACTTCGCGCATACCACACTTGTAATATTTTTAAACTTTTAAATTTAAAGTACCCGCGGTATTAAGAATTTTAAAAAGTGATATGTGCTTTCAGCACAAAAATAATATTGAACTCGGAGATTGATTTTTTTTTGTTGCTGTATTTAATTTACTTTTATAATATACCCCCTTTGACTTAATAAAATTTTTTAAATTTTATTTTTCAGTTAGTGCCTACCAGTTGTAATCCTAAAACCTATTGAACCATACTGAATTTTAATGGGTAAATTTGGAAAAGGATACTGACTATTGTTACAAAACCCGTAAAAGGCTGGATGCTAGAAGGGCAGTCCTTTTAGTATTACTGGAGATCTCTAAGTTTTTGAATCGCGTTTTTTTGTAAAAACCCCTGTAACAGTGACTCAACAGTGACTATGCCGGCCTGTAAAGTGACTCAAAGTAATCAGAGGGGCAAAAAAACCAAAAGTAAGTCAGCTACAGATAACCATTTCTAGTTAAAAAGTAATTTCTGTGTCTTACCCGTTAAAAGTAGATCCAAAAGGGAAAACTAAAACAACAACAAAGTTTCGAAAAAATGTTTTAATGAATCATCTAAAAACAGTAAAAAACGGAGACTAAACGTAACACAAAAAAGATAACCCAAATACATTAAGGTTTCATAAATAACGGTTCAAAAATGGGATGGGGGTGTCCCAAACGGTACACAAAGTAAAGTTTACTTTCCCATTTTAGGCCCCTTTAGGAAGTTTTTTTTCTTAAAAAGGGGTCCCGGCCCGGCAAGGCGCCGGCAGCCCATGAAGCTAAGCCCCGGCCCAGGCATCCCCCCGGCCAGGCATCCCCGGCCAGCCCGGGAAGTAGAAGTGGGTTTCTTAATAAGATTGGGGAAACACAATGGATTGCCGCCCGTTGGGAGTCTTTTTGTGGTATCGGTCGAGTTGGGAGGCCTCTTGTGGTATCCCGTCGAGTTGGGAGGCCTCTTGTGGTATCCCGTCGAGTTGGGAGGCCTCTTGTGGTATCCCGTCGAGTTGGGAGGCCTCTTGTGGTATCCCGTCGAGTTGGGAGGCCTCTTGTGGTGTCCGTCGAGTTGGGAGGCCTCTTGTGGTATCCCGTCGAGTTGGGAGGCCTCTTGTGGTATCCCGTCGAGTTGGGAGGCCTCTTGTGGTATCCGTCGAGTTGGGAGGCCTCTTGTGGTATCCCGTCGAGTTGGGAGGCCTCTTGTGGTATCCCGTCGAGTTGGGAGGCCTCTTGTGGTATCCTGTCGAGTTGGGAGGCCTCTTGCGGTATCCCGTCGAGTTGGGAGGCATCTTGTGGTACTGGTGACGCTGTGGCTGTTAGGACTAGAGCCAGCAGCAGCAGCAGAAGTGGGGTGGTGGTGGTGGTGGTGGCTTCCATGGTGCTGGTAGTGCTGGTAGTTGTGGTAGTGCTGATGGCTGGTGTTATCTAAGAAAGAATACAGAGACATGCTTGTTAGTGATCTAAGGGTTTAATTCCTACCTACTTGCCTATATCTCTATTCTGCTACTGCTGCTACCACTGCTGCTGCTCTCTCTCTCTCTCTCTCTCTCTCTCTCTCTCTCTCTCTCTCTCTAAGATGGACTTTCCACTAATGTGCATCAACACTCCACTTATAAGGCAGCCTTCCCAGTACACTGGGTACTGGGGGAGATTCCCAAGTACCCAGTATACTGGCAGTGAAGGCAGGATCCATACATAGCTTTAAGAAGAGGCATGATAAAGCTCTTGGAGGAGGGAGAGAGTGGACCTAGTAGCGACCAGCGGAGAGGCGGGGCCAGGAGCTATGATGTGACCCCTGCAACAACAATTTAGGGAGTTCACACGCACACATACTGTTTGAGACAGCAGACATATACATATACACACGCAGTGTAAGGCAGCAGACCCACACACACACTGTGTAAGACAGCAGAGAGGAACTTCCTGCAGGAGGTTCAGTGGGAAAGAGAATTAGTAAGAAAGTCAGTCAACGAAATGATGGACTACACGACAACAAAATGAAAGGAGGCAGAAGAGAGGTTTGTCCCCAAGAGGGACAGAAATAATGGGAAGACTGGAACGAGTCCTTGGTTCATCTAAAGGTGTAGGGACGCGAAAACAAAGTGCGTTAGAGAATGGAAAAAGTGCAGAAGACAAAGGACCCAGCAAAATAAAGAGGTTAGTCGGAGAGGCAGAAACGAGCATGCAGAGATAAGGAGGGAGGTCCAGTGACAGTACGAAAACGAGACAGCATCGAAAGTCATGTTTGATCCGAAGCTGTTGTATAGCCGCATCAGGAGGAAAACAGTAGTCAAGGACCAGGTAATCAGGTTAAGAAAGGAAGTTGGGGAGCTCACAAGAAATGACCAAGAAGTATGTGAGAAGTTTAACATGAGATTTAAATAAGCATTTACATTAGAGACAGGAAGGACTCTGGGAAGTCAGAATAGGAGGGTACACCAAGAAGGGATATACCAACAAGTGCTGGGTGAGATACACCTGGAGGTTACCTGGAGGTTATTCCGGGGATCAACGCCCCCGTGGCCCGGTCCATGACCAGGCCTCCCGATGGATCAGGGCCTGATCAACTAGGCTGTTATTGCTGGCCGCAAGCAGTCCAACGTACGAGCCACAGCCCGGCTGATCCGGCACTGACTTTAGGTATCTGTCCAGCTCTCTCTTGAAGGCAGCCAGGGGTTTATTGGCAATTCCCCTAATGCTTGATGGGAGGCTGTTGAACAGTTTTGGGCCCCCGGACACTTATGGTGTTTTCCTTAGTGTACCAATGGCGCCCCTACGTTTTATTGGGGGCATTTTGCATCGCCTGCCCAGTCTTTTACTTTCGTAGGGAGTGATTTCTGTGTGCAGATTTGGGACCATTCCTTCCAAGATTTTCCAAGTGTAGATTATGATGTATCTCTCCCTCCTGCATTCCAGTGAGTACAAGTCAAGTGCTTCCAAGCGTTCCCAGTAGTTAAGGTGCTTGACAGAACTTATACGTGCAGTAAAGGATCTCTGTACACTCTCTAGATCTGCGATTTTACCTGCTTTGAATGGAGATGTTAATGTACAGCAGTATTCCAGCCTAGAGAGAACAAGTGATTTGAAAAGGATCATCATTGGCTTGGCATCTCTCGTTTTGAAAGTTCTCATTATCCATCCTATCATTTTCTTTGCACGTGCGATCGTGGCACTGTTGTGATCAGGAAGTTGATCCTTTCAAGGCACTGGTTTGGATCCATGTCATTTAAGACATCTTCCCAACATGTTTCGTTTAGGACATGGTTTACCTGGTCCCAGTTGATGTTCTTGTTGTTGAAATTGTATTTTGTGAAGACACCTTCACAGGTACATGCATTCTGCTGATCAGGACCCCTATGCATGTACGTCTGGACTTCGATTAGGTTGTGATTGGTATTAGTTGTTTTTGATATTCTTATGTCTCTTATCAGGTCCTCATTATTTGTGAAGATAAGGTCAAGTGTGTTTTTAGTCTTGTTGGCTCCACTATCTGCTGGCTTAAGGTGTGTTTTTCGCAGAGACTTAGTAGCTCATGTGTGTGTGACCTTTCATCTGTGCTACCTCCGGGGATTGTTTCAGCTATAACATTATTTGCTACATTCTTCCATTTTGTATGCCTTAGGTTGAAGTCACCAAGCAGTAAGATGTTTGGGGATGGAGCTGGAAGGTTTTCCAAACAGTAATCAATTTTCAGTAGCTGTTCCTTGAACTGTTGTGAGGTTGCATCTGGTGGCTTGTATACAACCACAATGACTAGGTTTTGGTTCTCGATCTTTATTGATAGAACTTCAACTACCTCATTTGTGGTGCTCAGCAACTCCGTGCAGATAGGGGACTCTTTGACATACAGGCCAACCCCCCCTTGTTGCCGAGGAGAAAGTGAAGAAGCTGCTAAGAAAACTTGATACCTCAAAGACGGTGGGACTGGACAACATCTCTCCGTGGGTCCTTAGAGAGGGAGCAGAAATGCTGTGTGTGCCACTAACATAAATCTTCAACACATCCATTGAAACTGGGCATCTACCTGAGGTATGGAAGTGGCAAATGTAGTCCCAATTTTTAAGAAAGGAGACAGACACGAGGCATTAAACTACAGACTTGTGTCATTGATGTATATTGTATGCAGAGTCATGGATAAGATTATCTGGAGGAGAGTAGTGGGGCACCTAGAAGGGAACAAGCTTATAAACGACAACCAGCACGGTTTCTGGGAAGGGAAATCCTGTGTCACAAACCTACTGGAGTTTTATGACAAATTAACAGAAGTAAGATACAAAAGAGAGGGGTGGGTAGATTGCATCTTCTTGGACTGCAAGAAGGCCTTCGACACAGTTCCTCACAAGAAGTTAGTGGAAAACCTGGAGGATCAAGCACGCGTAAAAGGAAAGGCACTGCAATGGATCAAAGAATACCTTACAGAGAGGCAACATCGAGTCATAGTACGTGGACGAGGCGCCAGAGTGGGCGCCTGTGACTAGCGGGGTTCCACAAGGGTCAGTCCTAGGACCAGTGCTGTTTTTGGTATATGTGAATGACGTGACGGAAGGGATAGAGTCAGACGTGTGCCTGTTTGTAGATGATGTGAAGTTAATGAGGAGAATTAAATCCAATGAGGATCATGCAGGACTACAAAGAGACCTGGATAGGCTGCAAGCCTGGTCCAGCAACTGGCTCCTCGAATTTAACCCCGTCAAATGCAAAGTCATGAAGATCGGGGAAGGGCAAAGAAGTCCACACACAGGGTATAGGGTTGATATAATGTCGAGCAACATCTCATGAGGCGCACATCAACCAGATCACTGCTGCAGCATATGGGAGCCTGGCAAATCTAAGAGTAGTGTTCCGATACCTCAGCAAGGAATCGTTCAAGACTCTGTACACCGTGTACGTCAAGACCATATTGAGTATGCAGCACCAGTATGGAACCCACACCTGTTCAAGCACCGTCAAGAAATCAGAGAAAGTGCAAAGGTTTGCAACAAGACTAGTTCCAGAGCTAAGGGGAATGTCCTACGCTGAAAGGTTAAGGGAAATCGGCCTGAGGACACTGAAGGACAGGAGGGTTAGTTGAAACATGATAACGACATATAAAACACTGCAAGGAATAGACAAGGTGGACAGAGACAGGATGCTCCAGAGATGGGACACAGAAACAAGGGGTCACAATTGGAAGTTGAAGACTCAGATGAGTCAAAGGTATGTCAGAAAGTATTTCTTCAGTCATAGAGTTGTCAGGAAGTGGAATAGTCTGGCAAGTGATGTAGTGGAGGCAGGAACCATATATAACTTTAAGACGAGGTTTGATAAAGCTCATGGAGCAGGGGGAGAGAGGACCCAGAGCGATCAGTGAAGAGGCGGGGCCAGGAGCTATGTCTCGACTCCTGCAACCTCAAATAGGTGAGTACATACACTGTGTAAGGCAGCAGACAGACAGACAGACAGACAGACAGACAGACACACACACAACACACACACACACACACACTAACACTAAAACACACACACACACGCACACCAGAAACCAGTATGCACAGATAAGTAGGGAGGCCCGGCGACAATACGAAAATGACATAGCATAAAGAGCTGTAGTACAGCTCAAGCTGTGGTACAGGCACATCAGGAGGAAAAACAACAGTCAAGGACCAGGCAATCAGGCTTAGGACGGGAGGCGGGGAGCTCACAAGAAACGACCAAGAAGTATGTAAGGAGCTTAACATGAGACTTAAAGAACTGTTTACATTGGAGGCAGGAAGGCCTCTGGAAAAGCCGGAATAGTGGGATACACCAACAAGTATTGGACGATATACATACAGCCGAGGAGGAAGTGAAGACGCTGCTAAGTGAGCTAGATACATCAAAGGCGGTGGGACAGGACAACATCTCTCCGTAGGTCCTTAGAGAGGAAACAGAGACACTGTCTGTGCCACATACAACAATCTTTCAACACATCTATTGAAACTGGGCAACTACCTAATGTGTGGAAGGCAGCAAGTGTAGTACCGATTTTTAAGAAAGGAGACAGACACCCAGCATTAAACTACAGACCGGTATGACTGACTTGTATAGTATGCAAAGATTATCAGAGAACAATGGTGGATCACCTAGAAAGGAATGAGCTCATTAACAACAATCAGCATATTTTCAGGGAAGGGAAATCCTGTGTCACATACCTACTGGAGTTTCACGACAAGGTGACAGCAGTAAGAGGGAGAGAGAGAGGGGTGGATAGACTGCATTTTCTAGGGCCGTAAGAAGGCTTTCAACACAGTTCCACACAAGAGATTAGCGG